TATGCATACGTAATTAGTTTAAGAGGGGATGTTTTGTAGTGCTGAATTATTAAACCTTCATTTTGCAATAAAGATGGTTGGCAAAACTGAATTTCTTTAGTTTATTGATGGAACGTTTGCATGTTATTTTAACCAGGTGGTTATTTATTAAACCAATTAATGATTGGGTGGAAAAAGCTGTTGCAATCGGAGATTCCCAAGCTACATTAAACGAAGCATGAGGATTAATTAATCAAGCTCACAAGCAAAATGTATGTGATCTTGGTGCTAAATAACTGTGGAAGCGTATTCAATTGAACTACATGGGAATACAGTTGTATGTATTTTTTCAGAAATAAAATAAATTAATACCATCAGTTTGTATGGTTTTTTTTATATAAAAACAATATATTTATTGAAAACTCAATCATTTATTGATTTGTATTGTTTGTGTTTTGCTGCTGTTTATTATTTATTTTTATTATAATATATTATAAAAACATAAATCCAGATCTGAAAATTAAAACACAGATCCCAAGTTGGTAAAATATGAACCAGGATGCAAACAGTGGGGAAAAAAAGAAACCTTTGGAAACGCAAGGTTTGTATGTGTGGCACTTGGTCAAGTGCTTGCTAGTCACGCATGGCAGTAAAAATAAAATAAAATCAACATGACCTCAATCTAGCTATAGGGAAAATATACCTTCACTCACCATGTTATGTTTGGGGGTATATCTGTTAAAAAAATAGTCATCAGCTACTCACAATCAATACCCAGGCACTGCTGGCGATTGCTGCACAATCACTAAATAGGCCCTGCCCCCTATTAAATTCATCCCATCTTCCTTGTCACACTAATAAATAGTGTGGTGGCCCAATATATCTACCAGCAAAAAAGACTGGTATTTAACTCACTTATACAAAATTCAATGTTTAGTGAATACACCTCTCATACTTACAACATAACAATGAATCTTTCCACCTTTGGTATTTGCTGCTTCTGCACAGTTATGATTGCCAGACTGCTTTGCACAGGAAGTATGATTTGTGCATTCCATCTGGCAGAGCTATTAAGAGATACTTGACCATATCTGAAATTTACCACATTACAGGGGGGTTCATATTTTGAATTCTTTCTTTTATTCAATCTCCAATACAAGCAAGAGAAAATGTACAATCAAGCAACCAATCAAAAAACAGCATAACTGATCAAAGGTAAGGCATATAATGCCACCTTCTCTTTCTTTGCTGCTCGACCTTCAGTTAAGGTCAGAATATTGTTTTCACTGCATGGTTGACCTATATTGAGCTGTTTTATTATTCCTTAAAGTTAAAGGATCACTGTAGTGTCAGGAAAACAAACTCGTTTTCCTGAAGCTATAGCATCCTTAGGACCCCCCCCAGGGTCCCCCTCCCTTTGGCCAAAACCCCCTTCAGCTACTTACTTTAATCCAGAGCCCTCCGCGCTGGTGACCTCTCCTCCCCCGCCGACGTCAGCTTCCGAGTGGAGCGGAATGCGCATGCGCGGCAAGAGCCGCGCGCACATTCAAACAATCCATAGGAAAGCATTTCTTAATGCTTTCCTATGGACGTTCTGCACTCTGGATGCAAATTTTGCATCCAGCATCGCAAAAGAGCCTCTTGCGGCTGTCAGGAAGACAGTCACTAGAGGGTGGATCAACCCTGCAATGTTTACATCTGAAGGGTTAAAACCTGGGGGACCTGGCACCCAGACCACTTAATTGAGCTGAGGTGGTCTGGGTGACTATAGTGTCCCTTTAATTTTTCTAAAAGTTTTTTTCTCTTTGGTTTTCTTTAAATGGATTCTATAGACCCCTCTGGTCAACCTGTGTTCTCTCTGTTTTGGGTGAGCCCCAGATGCCAATATTATGCCCCACACAGATATTTACTCACACATTGTGCTGGCACCTATAATAGGGAACCCCTTGGTGTTTATATACAGGGCGAGCCTCTATTTAATGTTCCTGGCACACTTAGCCCTTGCAGGATTTTCATTGCAAGGGCTCAGTGTGCCAGTAATTTGGTGGTGAGCGCAATGTTGTATATTGTCTCAATACTTAGTAGGGATTTTACCCTTATTGATATCTGTCATGGACAGAATAGAGGGTTCACAATCCAATCCCAATGACATTTGAGCTTTAGTTAAAACTGCAATTGCATGATCTGTGGAAAGGTCCCTAGCAAAGGTGTTTCACTTGGCTCCTGCCAATCAAGGGGGCCAACCTCCTGTACCTAAAAGAGTTGAAGTACACTCTTATGAGCCACAAGACTCAGATACTTCCTTGCCAGAACCTGACAAACTGTCTAAAGGTCTAGTTCCATGGTTTGTAAAAGCAAGGTGAAAGCTTTGGCAAAAAAAGTGCTAAAATTGACTCAGAGTAAACTCCTGGACAATATTGTCCTGGATCCTATATCTGGCAGATTACTCTCTTGCTTTGGGTACTGCCTTCAATGCCAATGTTATACAAGAGTGGGTGCAACATTGCATCTGCTTAATGAAGAATGCTAATGTAGCCATGATCACATGGCCCGGGAGTGCCGGATCAACCGTGGGGGGACTGCCTGGGTTGAAAGGCAGTCCCCCAATCATGATCGGCATCGTGGGAATGCTGGCGGACACATGAGTACTAGCAGTTCTATGCCGTCTGCCAGCGTTTAGGACCAGCTCCTTAAGGACGGCATAGAAATTCCGCCATCCTTATGGGTTAAAATTAGGTAAATAGAACCTCAGATGAACAACAACAGGACATATTATACTGTGTCATGATTCAACAAAAATAAAGCCAAAATGGAGATGCCATGTGTGAAAAACTAAATACACCCTTGTTGTTTCCATAAAAATTAACAGATAAGTAGCAGACAGGTGATGCAAGTCAAATGCCCTTAATTGATCATCAGCTGAGTCTTCTGTTCCTGCCTGTAGGGGCACTGCTTGGATGGTCAGGCAGTATCCCATATACTGACCACAAAGTGGAAAGTTATAAAAGCATGGTAATAATGTATTATAGATATATTATATATGTATAATACATATAAAGCATTTTATAAATTTTTTATACAATGAGTATACATATATATGCCATTATAAGTATACTTTGATATTAATATATATATTTATTAATATCAAAATACACTTATAATGAAATTATATATATATATATATATATATATATATATATATATGTATAATGTATTAATAAAATGTTTACGTTATATAATAATTATAAAGTAACACCAAGCCTCACTAGCAAGCCAGAAACCAACCTCATGCTGATGAGGTGCATTAACGAGGAAACAGCTAAACAGCTGTCCATGAGTGGTTCATTGGCTTTGCATCTCTTCCTGAGTATGATGTCCCACTGTATATCTATACATACACAGGCTCCCTATTAAAAAACGAGTAATAAATAAATAAAAAGACTATGAGGGTCACTATCACTCCTGCAATGTACAATAAGACAATTGGATAAAGGGTCACAACCAAAATGAATTAAATCCAATAGATGAGTGATCAAGGCTCAGTAACTAAAATAATCTAATAATCTAATACCTCTAGAACATTGAGCTAGGCCAATTACTTGCCCCGTCTCTAGAACAACCTATCTAAGTATATGTAACATATGTAACGAATGCCTGATTTGTTACAAAAAAGGGCATGCAGAGGTTTATTTTAAAACAATGCTTTGTGTCATCTGGGTGTTGTTGGGTCATGAGATGTTAGAGTATACAATCAGTTTAAGTATATATATATATATATATATATATATATATATATATATATATATATATATACCAAGTGTTAGAGTAAATCAACAATCTGAGCATATGTCCCAGGTTCTTGGGGAATATCTCTTATGGCTGTATGTCAGTCTATTTCATACTTTTCATCCCCTTACTTTTGTAACTTTTCTCCTCCATATTTTAGACATATTTTAGAGGAAATATCTCTTTGTATGGAGTTAGAATAAAGCCTTGGTTGCACCACAATTTGTTATATTTGATACATTATCCCCTAGTACTCTCACCAATTGATACTTAAAACGTGTGTTACAATTTGATGCAAGGATTAACATTCATAGGGGGATTACGGCTACAGCATTCAATACTCCATTCAAGTGGGAATTTTAATACGCACAATTTTATTTTAATTTTTTTGTTGTTTTTCCATTATTAAAGTCTAATAACACTTAGAGCACTGATTTGTTTGTCTATTTTTTCACCCTCCCATTTCTCTTTCTGATCTGACTTAAAGCTGTATTAAAAATTAGTATGTCCTGTCATCTTTGTGCGCATATGTCTATGTGTTTATGTATATTTGTGTCAGTAGCAATGTGTGTTTGTTACAGTGTGGCTATAGCATGTATTGTGGTGTGTGCAACAGTAAGGTGTGTGCAGTGTGGGCAGAAGTGATTTTGTGTAACAGCAAGCATGTGTAGTAGTGTATGTATGTATGTAATAGTGTATGTGAATATTAGTGTTGGTAGTAGTAGTAGTATGTGTAGCAGTTTGTATAGTAGTGTGTAGACAATGTGCATAGCAGTATGTGTATTGACAGTGTGGGCAACAATATGTGTAGCAGCGTAAGTGTGAGTTAGCCATTCTGGCCCAGTCCTCTCCCTTCTACTGGCCAGTCCTCTCCCATTCCACCTCCATCCTGGAGATCACTGTGCTCAGTCAATGGGTGTGGGGCCATGCATAGATGAAACTCATCATTGTGTGAGGGGCAAATAAGGCCGTATAGGAAAGGGGGAAAAAAGTCGGTTGTGGTGTGCCGGAACCGATGTCGTGATAGGCCTGTAATAAAAGAGGGCCCACCCATGATGTGTAATGAAAAGTATAAATTAGAGGGAGTGGAGGGTGGGGACATGTAAATCACTAAAATACGTACGGGACAGAGGAAGGTGAGTAGGGGGTTTAAGTAGGGGACATGCCCCTCCCACAACTGCAGGCCATGCCTTTACATTTGTGTGAGGGGCAAATAAGGCCGTATAGGAAAGGGGGAAAAAAGTCGGTTGTGGTGTGCCGGAACCGATGTCGTGATAGGCCTGTAATAAAAGAGGGCAAAAATAGATGCCTGCCAGAAACTTAAACAATCAACAAAACCTTAATTGCCTAGCTGTATGGTAAATGCCGAGCGAGTAGTTAGGTGCCTGGCACTTTAACCGGCACTCTAAATTGTGAAAGGGGGGAAGTAAAGTCTGTTAAACGTGTTGGCCAACTAGGGAAAACTAAGTGTGGGGTAGAGAGGGTAACCAATAGATTGCATGAATAGGTGAGACTTCCTGAGACAATGCTGCAATATGATGAGGGGGCTGTGGGAAATATGTGGGACCCCAAGAAACTGTGAAAGCAGGTATAGTGGCTCGACGACTACATTGCATAGTTACTTAGCCAAAAAGAGACCAGCATCCCACAAGTCCAGCCTACCTCGTATTTGTGATAAAACCGGTTGATCCAAAAGAAGGCGAAAAACCCTGTTTGAAGCGCTTACCAATTTGCAACAAGCTAGGGAAAAAATTCCTTCTTGACCCCAGAACGGCAGTCGGATTTATCCTTGGATCAAGCAGTTATCGCCCTACCTTGAAGGTTGATGCCGGGTTCATGAGGACAAGCATAAAATAGGTCTGATAGTGATTGAAATACTTTAATGTTGATGGGAAATCTGTAAATTGAAAAATTCCCGGAACCTGACACGCCTTACGTGTGGTAATAATCTGGTATATGTGAAAGAAACCTGTACAACATGTGAAGCTGTAGACCGTATAAGTAGAGTTGATGCAAGTAAGAGGTGGCAAAAGAAGCGAAAATCAATCGCAGACAACATATCAGAGACAGCAACAGGGTATGTGAGAAAGGAGCATCAAAGGGGAAGAAAGGTCCTTACACATGCACCGCGAGTGCTAGAAAATAAGAGCCAGACGTGAAAGATGATGACCACGAGCTCATGAGGCTGGCAGCCCGCGATCAGGCCCCGAAATGCCGGGAATGGTAGGTAGCGGCTACGGGAGAGGCCGTAAGCAGAGCCACGTCGGAAAGAGCAGAAGAGGCACAGGACCGATCGAACGAAAATAAAAGGTGCAGGAAGTCCGGTGTGGATCTAGCCAAAGCGGCAGGTTCCAGTTGCCCTAAACTACCATCCAACATCGCCCCATAGACGACAGCAGCAAAGACAACCGGAAGCCACATCGTTACCCGTGGAGGGGGACAGACACTGAGAGTGCAGCTGACCGGAAGGCTGCCGGGGGGGTGGGGGGGGATAGGTTGACTTGCGAGAATGGCAGCGAAGCGAGGAAGCGCCCAGGACCCAGAAAGAAGGCAGGAGTAGCCGAAACGCCACAGCGCGATTAGAACCAGAGCCAGCCAGAGAGCCCGGGTGGAAAAATACCATGCCTACGCCTGGCAGCGGAGACCTGCTAGAAAAAGAGACGAATAAAACAGCGCAAAAGCGAACCAATGTGCACGTGAGTGTGAAAGTGTGTGAGTGTGCATGCTGGCATACTAACTAATGCCAAAAAGCGAAACAATTAAAAAAAAACTAGGTTTGGTGACAGGTGAGGCCCTGCTAGATGCCAAGTGGCATGAGAGGTTCTATCTATGAGTTGGCGCGAGGGGATAACGTGGCCACTGAAACGTTGTGGCGGGGTGTTGGCCTCTCAGTGACGGTTAAACATAAGATAGAACGGGAGTGACAGGTGAGGCCCTCTCTATGCCACAATGCGAGGCGACTAACTATGATTTGGCCCGAGGGGCGTAGTACCTCTGAGTATGAGGATGGGTGTTGGCCTCGCAGGACCACTAACCTAAGGCGAAGAAGCCAGGGGGAAATTACAACTAGTGGGCACCTAGGACTCTGACAGCCAGCCACAGCTATCTAAGAGGGGAGGGAAGGTAACGTGACAGAGGATGGATTTGATGAAATGTGTATTGAAAAAGGTGAACGTGAACGAGGAAGAACCGTAACTGAAGAGCAGAATAAGCACGTCAGAGACCAGGTGGTCAGGCTGTATGGAGCCTGCCTGGCAATAGGTAATAGAAATACGTGTAGGTGGAAAGCCCACAGGGCCACGAGTGTGTGTGTGTGTGTGTGTGCTGGCATACCAACTAATGCCAAAAAGGCAAAACAATTAAAAACTAGGTTTGGTGACAGGTGAGGCCCTGCTAGATGCCAAGTGGCGTGAGAGGCTCTATCTATGAGTTGGCACGAGGGGATAACGTGGCCATTAAATGTTGTGGCGGGGTGTTGGCCTCTCGGTGACAGTTAAACATAAGATAGAATGGGAGTGACAGGTGAGGCCCTCTCTATGCCACGATGCGAGGCGACTAACTATGATTTGGCCCGAGGGGCGTTGTACCTCCGAGTATGAGGATGGGTGTTGGCCTCGCAGGACCACTAACCGAAGGCGAAGAAGCCAGGAGGAATTACCACTAGTGGACACCTAGGACCCTGACAGCCAGCAACAACTAACTAAGAGGGGAGGGTAGTGAGTGAGAGAGAGGAGTACGTATGAAAAATATGAAATAGAATGCATGGACGTGTGAATAGCCCCCCACGTGGCTCAGAAGGCTATAACAATGGCACACATACGCTTTTTATTTATTTCTCTCCATCTTACTGAGAAGCAATCAAGTAAATGTCACAATATGTTACCACAGAGGTAAGCCATGGTAATATAACAACGCGTTACCGTGGAGTTGTGCCGTATACATATCACCTGTGAAAACTTCCTTAATTATGCAATTGCCTCATTAATAGACACAGTTACAGTAGTCCCCCCCCCCCCATCTCCTTATCTGGCCAGGTGCTGTGCGGATACCCAGGATATTCCGAACCACAGACTGAGGTTTATAATTGAAAACGTAGAAACCCAATCAGCAATATTATAAAACCGACATGACAGTTTCCTTCTCAGTAGAGTGGGCGCAGTTACCATTCACAGTACGTACTGTATAAAACCAAAAGGTTCCTTATTGAAGGAAGCAGCTATAATGGTTAGTGATCCAGCTGGGGGCGGCTGGATGCAATTACCGAATTACATATATCCAAAAAGACGATGGAGGCGGCTGGATGCAATAAATGAATTTTATATATCTAAAAATAGCATGGTATGTGGAATACCTTGTACCATTATGATGTACATTATTTAGAACTACTTGTTACCCAACAAAACCAGGTGGACTGGGCCAAAAGAGCAGTGAAGGGGCACAATTTGTACATATAAACACTGGTAAAGCAGAAAACTATGTTAAATCATAGTATTGCAAAAGAAACAAAACAAAAAAGAATGCATTTAGTTTTGTCCTTCACTAGAAAAAACCATTCATGGTAAGTGCACATTGTAACGTCACACAGACCGGCTGTTTTAAGTGTGTTGGGGAATGCCTCCCAGAAACAATTAACATGGTTCAATAATACCAGCTGTTATAAATGAATGGTTGATTAGGGACACCTACAGCATTACAAGGTGTGCGTGTAATAAATGCAGAAATGAGAAATGACCATGTGCTCGTAGTAGGAGAAAATTGCCCCAAGTAAAGCAAAACTGCCCAAAATAAAAAACAAGAAACTGCCCAAAATAAAGTAAAAAACTGCCCAAAATAAAAACAAGAAACTGCCCAAAAATTGAAACCAAACCGTCAAAAGATAAGCAAAGCTGCCCTAATTAAAACGGCACCTGAGCAGGGAAAAAGAAAACGAAGCCGGCGAAACAGCAGACCGTTCGCGAGACAACTGAACGCCAGACAGCCACGAACCCCTAGAACCGTGACAGCAACAGGAAACAAGGGGAGAGAAAGACTCCTGAACGGAGGTAAGTACACTCACAAGACCAGAAGAGTAGACTGGACGGACAGCCGACCGGAGCAGAGCCCAGAAAGGACCGCGGACGAAATAGCGGGGAACAGCAGGCCAGTCAAGGAGAACCGCGAGGGACCAGGCGAGGGAGAGATGCCGACCGGAAATAGTGACATGTGAATCACTAAAATACATACGGGACAGAGGAAGGTGAGTAGGGGGTTTAAGTAGGGGACATGCCCCTCCCACAACTGCAGGCCATGCCTTCACATTTGTGCACTCATTAGGAAGATGCTTGTAGGCAGGTACTTTTAGATCAGGAATGGTTTGAGGAATATGACAAAGAGTTTATAGTATTGACTTTGCCTCCAAATTCCAGAGATCTCAATCTGATTGAGTATCTATGTAATGTGCTGGAACAACTAATCCAATCAATGGATGCCCCACCTCACAATTTGCAGGACTAAAGGGGCACCTGTCATACCCCCCACAAAAAAATGCTCATTTAATTTGGACATAACATTTTATCTATACATTGTTCTAGCAGTTTTGCTAGCAAATATATAGATTAGGAAAAAAAACTATTTAAAAATAGCTTTTATTCTTAGCTGTCAGGCAACAGGAGTTCCCTCTGTTGTCACCCCACAGAACCAGCTAGGGAGCATAGGAATAAGGTTTCCCCAGCCTCACCAACCTCACTTCACCCTCAGCCTCACCACCCCACCACCCTCAGCCTCACCACCCCCCTTCAGCCTCAGCCTCACCACCCCTACCTCACCCTCAGCCTCACTACCCCCTTCAGCCTCACCACCCCCCTTCACCTCTCAGCCTCACTCCTCACCTCAGCCTCACCCTTCAGCCTCACCACCCCACCTTCACCCTCAGCCTCACCATCCCCACCACCCTCAGCCTCACTTCAGCCTCACCACCCCCTTCACCCCTTCAGCCTCACCATCCCCACTCACCCTCAGCTTCAGCCTCAGCCTCACTCACCCCTTCTCACCCCTCTTTCAGCTCCTCACTCATATCCCCACCACCCGCAGCCTCATCACCCACCCCCCTTTCACCTCAATTACCTACCCCAGCTCGCCATCCCTACTCACCTCAGCTCGCCCACCCCTTTCACCTCAGCTCTCACTAACACCCTCTTCACCCCTCAGCTCTCACTCTTCTCACCTCAGCACTACCTCTTCACTCCTCAGCTCACTTGCTACCCCCCACTCACCCTCAGCTCCTGCTACCCACCACGTCCTCACCCCTGCACCTCACCATCAGTATCACCTCCCCTACTACCCTGTGCATAACCTCCTCACCACCTCAGCATCACATCACCCTCCACCACCCTCAGTATCACCCCTCCACCACCCTCAGCATCACCCCTCCCCACCCCCTCAGCATCACTCACACCCTCCCCACCACCTCAGCATCACCCTCCCCACCACCCTCAGCATCAGCCCTCCCACACCCCCTCAGCATCACCCCACCTCAGCATCACCACCTCCCCACCACCCTCAGCATCCCCCCTCACCATCATGCCCCTCCTTTTCCTGCCATCCACACCCTCTCTTCTCACCACCACCCCCCTCCTTCTCACATCACCTCCCTCCCTTTC